ACGTATTGCGAATTTCAACTACGTACTATATATCTATATATGTATTTGTCGAGATGATTGAGGTTAAGCTAGTAAAGGTGATACAGATAAGTTTATATCCGGAACTATTCTAACACATGTTAAAGTTAATGAATGCGTATCTTTGTTACGTGACAATTATGTGTATAACCAAATCGTTAATTCTGATTTATTTTATTTTATTATTAATAAACGTTAATTATTCGAGGTCCTCTTTTAAAATTACCACGCTTATATATTCCCTCCACTACTTTTTTGCATGTTTACACCCGTGGTTCCAACCTCTAAATATATGCCACTTTTCGATATAATTTCGTCTTCTATAAAAATTTTAATTTTTAATTTCTTTTTGTTCGAGGAAGATCTTCGTTTAAAGTTTGAGTATGTTAACCCCTGTAATATTACTCTAGAATAAACGATCTCGAATTTAACTTCAAAGCAAACTGTTAAATTATGTTTTTTTGAAGAAACTAAAAGAAAATTATTATTTTTGACTACAACACAGTAAAGTTTCCACATTGCCGCATAACTTAACACTATCACGGATTTACGATTTTGTGGTGACATATCTTCTATGAACTTCTCGAATTTAATTTCGAAGCAAGTTTTTAGCTACGTTTTTTTTGAAGAAACTAACAGGAAAATTTTATTTTGAGTCACAACACAGCGAGGTTTTCACATTGCAAAATAACTTCACGCGATCATGGATTGTTCATAGATTACACAATCAGGTTTATAATTTCGTGGTAAGAATTAATACTCATAATTATAACAAACTCTTTGACATTTTTTTACAAACTTTACCAACTGTTGGCTACTAACTCTATTTACTATTAGAGATGCGCCTCGCGCGAGACAAACCTAGAGTCACTAGTCAAAAGGCCAAAAATCAATATATAGTCATATTTGGTTAATTGATTGTCGAAGGTGCTGAGTGTATACTGGTTATTGTCAGCATTCTGATAGCATTTTGCTTGCTAATTAGTTATTTGACTTTACTGAATAGGCATTCAGCCGGTTGAATATTTATTCAACAAACAGAATTCTTGCAGGATGTAGCATACGTTTAGCACTTTCAATAATCAATTAGTAAAACTGGAAATAATATGACTGTGTTGATTTTTGGCACTTTGATTAGTGCATACATTTCACATATCACGCGCGCGATGCTATTGCACAAGTTCGCGAGTTCCATGTAATAAGAATTCATTTTAGAATAAATGCTAATAAATAATTTTGTTAAAATTCTCTTAATCGAATAGTTATCTCATGCATAGTATAATGTTATCTCGCGCAAGGGCGCAGGTACGATAGTTTTGTCATTTCACGCGAGATACATTATAGTTTAATATAATAAGTAGGTTTTGCAAGGTTTTGAAAATAACTGGAATTATGTCAACTTTGTAGCTTAAGAGAGATCTAAAACGTTTGCATCGAATTGATTTCCAGGAAAAATAGGCGATTTAGTGCTTTTTGAACAGTATTTTTTTGGTTATGTAGTTTTTTTAATAAATGTAATTTTATTTAGTATCACATTTAAAAAATCTTTTCACAAGTTTCAAAAATTATAATAAAAAAAAAAATTGAACCTCATATGAGTGCTGCCAAGGGAAAAGGGAACATTCGGCATTATAGTTAATTTATTTGATTCTGAAAAATTGATCACAATCTATAATATTTCACTAAAACGATTATGATGATATGTATAATTAAAAGCCCGATATGCCGTTGATCAGACGGGGAATAAAATAAATTAACTATAATGCCGAATGTTCCCTTTTCCCTTAGCAGCACTCATATTTGCATAATTAAATTCATGTCTTTATTACCAATATTTTCAAAACACAATATTTCGCACATGATCATTTATCACTGTTTCAAGATGATGTATCTTCGATCAAATTTTACAGATCGTTGCTCATATATACAATCACTTGATTGTTACCCGATTGCGCGAAAATGTGTCAGAATATTTTATTTGTGTCGAGTTTTTGATTATTGCGGTTTGCAAAATTATGTGAAATTTTAAGATCATTAAAAAAATTATTGTGGTTTGCAAAATTATGTGAAATTTTAAGATCATTAAAAAAAAAAAAAGTAATCACTAATTTCTGATTACTGATTTCCGATTTTTTTTTAACTTTTAGATTAGACAAAATTTGCGTATATTTTTTATAGAAATAAAAATTGCATATTCATCATTTTGTAATATATTTGCAAAAATAGGTGTTGCGCATTAAAATATCCAATCAAATTTTTACAAATGATAAATGCGCAAATTTTGTATAGTCTAAAAGTCAAAAAAAAATGTGGAAATCAGAAATTAGTGATTACAGTACTTTTTTTATCGTTATTGATCTTCATAATTTTGCAAACCGCAATAATATAAAATCTCGAAAAATAAATTTTTTTAGTGGGTATTTTTTAGGGCTAGGGGTTAGAATTAGGGGTTAGAATTAGAGTAAAATATATTAAACAAGTATAAGTTGGTTTTAGAAGGTTAGGAGGTTGAATAGAAAATGTAGATTTCATTTTAAATTATGATCTGCGACAATAACTTCGAGGAATCAAATGATTTGCGACGGGTAATTGGGTGTATTTAAATATCTTTTCAAGAATGGGTTAAGCAAGTGGAGATAAATATCAACTATTTAATAAGTTTGTTTAAAAATATCAAAAAGGGTATATTAGCCATATCACAATGAATAATGTTTTTATTATGCAAAAATTCCAGGCCTTCCACAATGTCTTTCGTAATCTTTAATTTTCTAATAATGCTTAAATTAAACCTTAAATACTGTCGCAAATTGCCACTTTTGGCAAAATTCATTACTACGTATATAGAACGATATCTCCATCTGAATCTATTCATTAATATATATTGTGGATTATTTTAATTAATTCATATAGGTTTTTGATCTAAATATCATTATATACCGTTTACTATGTCATAAAATTTAACAATATTAAGATGTGGGGTATCTTGCAACATTTTTATTATTTTTAACATCTGATTTCTCTTGGATTGCTTTATCTTTTTGAGTGCAACTACCTCATAATTCCATTTAGCATAATAAATATTCATTGCGATGATTCGAGAAATCATCGTATTTACAACCCGTAATTATTGAATAAATAAATCATTAATTAAGAAAAAAAATGTTTCCAGGAAAGAACTTATTCAATTTATATACAATTTATTGTTGTTGTCTCGGAATACCTGAGCCGTCAAACTAACAAATCCGCTTAAACAAAATCGGCAGAATAGGTAACTACACTTTCACGAACCTATTTACCCTTGTCATAGAACCCCTGAATTTTATTTCGATGACATTCACCAGTTTGTTTTTATTGTCTTATTTTGTTATATGCCGAAAATCTTTACGAGCATTTATGCAGTAGCGCCAACGTTTTATTTGCCAAATAATTTCGAACGTAGATCATCTGATGGTAGCATTGTATCGTAAGCATTCATTATGCGGGAGTAGTAGATTTGCATTCGTATTCTTTCGATACGGTTGGCAGCGAGTACCCTTATGTCAAAAAAATGATCTACAAAATTTAGACTCGGAACCAACAAAATCAAGTAAAAATTTGATTATCAAGTACTTGATTAAGTTTTAATGAATTAACTTGATTTTGTAGCTCATAGGCAGAAGTTTGTCTGATTGGCTAATAAATTCAACAGTTTAAAGTACTTTTTAAAAAAACAAAAACTAATCATAATGAAATAAAAAAAGCTGTATCGAAGGTTTCATTAGAGCTGTAGGACTTCATAGCCAAAAATAATCTCTAATTCTCGTCCGTTTAAAAAAGTTAGTATA